TATTTATGTATACTAGGTTAACTTGTATGTGTGTATAGTAGAGTAAATGTATTGATGTATACTAGGTTAACTTGTTATGTGTGTGTAATAGAGTAAACATATTTATGTATACTAGGTTAACTTGTATGTGTGTATAGTAGAGTAAACGTATTTATGTATCCTAGGTTAACTTGTATGTGTGGATAGTAGAGTAAACGTATTTATGTTTACTAGGTTAACTTGTATGTGTGTATAATAGAGTAAACGTATTTATGTTTACTAGGTTAACTTGTTTGTGTGTATAGTAGAGTAAACGTATTTATGTATACTCTACTATACACACATACAAGTTAACCTAGTATAAATAAATACGTTTACTCTATTATACACACATACTAGGTTAACTTGTATGTGTGTATAATAGAGTAAACGTATTTATTTATACTAGGTTAACTTGTACGTGTGTATAGTAGAGTAAACGTATTTATGTATACTAGGTTAACTTGTATGTGTGTATAGTAGAGTAAACATATTTATGTATACTAGGTTAACTCGTATGTGTGTATAGTAGAGTAAAAGTATTTTTGGAGACTAGGTTAACTTGTAGGTGTGTATAGTAGAGTAAACGTATTTATGTATACTAGGTAACTTGTATGTGTGTATAGTAGAGTAAAAGTATTTATGTATACTAGGTTAACTTGTAGGTGTGTATAGTAGAGTAAACGTATTTATGTATACTAGGCTAACTTGTATGTGTGTATAGTAGAGTAAACATATTGATGTATACTGGGTTAACTTGTAAGTGTGTATAGTAGAGTAAACGTATTTATGTATACTAGGTAACTTGTATGTGTGGAGAGTAGAGTAAAAGTATTTATGTATACTAGGTTAACTTGTAGGTGTGTATAGTAAAACGTATTTATGTATACTAGGTTAACTTGTAAGTGTGTATAGTGGAGTAAACATATTTATGTATACTAGGTTAACTTGTAAGTGTGTATAGTAGTGTAAACATATTTATGTATACTAGGTTAACTTGTAACTGTGTATAGTAGAGTAAACGTATTTATGTATACTAGGTTAAATTGTATGTGTGTATAGTAGAGTAAACATATTGATGTATGCTAGGTTAACTTGTAAGTGTGTATAGTAGAGTAAACGTATTGATGTATATTAGGTAAATTGTCGGTATACAAAGAGTTGGTTTTGTATCTGGTATACATGTGTATATTGAATTAAATCTAGTTTATTTCAGAAATGTTATTCACGAATGTATTACCATTGCCAGCCAATAAGTTGTGTGTTATGTAAACTTCATGCTGAAAGTCTGAAGTAGAAATATTTTTACTTAAAGCTGACAGTGCAAGTTAAAAAGCTTTCAATTGAGATTATTTTTTCTGGTTTTGAGATCTTCCCCATCTATTCCTTCTACCGTTTCTAAGGAAGTGCCGAAAATTTAGTTTGTCCTTAATTGCTTGGTAACGAGTATGGGTCTCGCTGGGTAAAAAAAAGGGCATTACCCGTCTAACCGGTTATCATTTGTTCAATATGTGCACAAGGTGACACTACTTTACTATATATATAGAACACTTTCACGCACAATTTTTTACCAACATTTTGTATCAGATCAGTTGAATAAAATTGAAATGGAACATATCAAAGATATCATTTATCTAAGAAAAGTGGAATTAGTAGTAAAATACGACCAATTAAAATATCTTATGCACAATCCCCACCACCACCAAAAAAAACCACCACTAAAAACATACTATGAATGCTAATTATAAAATGCCTACCTTTATTTTCTTCTTGGACTTGTCATGGGAACAGTTATATTTGTAGATACGTTTACTTTTCTGATAATTTTATAGGGTAGAGGTGTTGTGTTTGAGATACCATTAAGTAATTGATTTGTATATTTCAGGTGAGATATGTAGTTTCCAGAGGAGTCTGACAGCTGTGACAGGGTTACTAAGGGGTGCGATAGGAGACTGGTACCCTGTCCTTACAAGGCTGTGACAGGGTTACTAAGGGGTGCGATAGGAGACTGGTACCCTGTCCTTACAAGGCTGTGACAGGGTTACTAAGGGGTGCGATAGGAGACTGGTACCCTGTCCTTACAAGGCTGTGACAGGGTTACTAAGGGGTGCGATAGGAGACTGGTACCCTGTCCTTACAAGGCTGTGACAGGGTTACTAAGGGGTGCGATAGGAGACTGGTACCCTGTCCTTACAAGGCTGTGACAGGGTTACTAAGGGGTGCGATAGGAGACTGGTACCCTGTACAAGGCTCCCGTACACGACAGTACTATACAAGTCACTATGGGTAAGTACATCTCTGCCATTCCACCAGTCCACTATCAACAGTGGAATATCATAAGTGTCTACTCTTTGGTCCCCCCTTCCCCGCCCCGCCTCTCCTTCAAAAAAATAAATAAAAAAGTTTTGTAAGTATGTTGATAGCATTTCATGTTGGGGCTTTCTTTCCTTGATAAGTTTGAAGCCAACCATCATAAGATGATGGGCTGTTCAAATCACCCTTCCCTATTTCACAGAAAATACTTCAGGGATCTTTCTCAAATTTTAAATGAAGGCTCCCCATGGTGCCTAGTCATGCATATCAAATTTTGGGACTGATCATAATTACTTTAACTATTAATGCCAAGATGGCTGACAGGTGATACATGTAGGTGACCATCTTGAATTTTGACAGTTTAAGTTTGTTAGTGCTATTTCTCTGAAAGTACTGAAGGGATCTTTCTCATACACAGGGAATGGGGAAAAAACAAAACAGGATGGCAACAAGACAGCTATCTTGAATTTAAACAGTTTAATTTCGTTATTTCCATATATATGTTCTCTTCGGTCCCCTTGCTATAAATACCCCTGGCCCTAATGAAAATTCAGCCATCATTGACAACCCTTCTTATTACGAAAGAAATACAAATGTAGGGTCAATGCCTATGGAGATTTAACATTAGCCTCAGCCCCCGCTTGGAATTTCAAAACAAGATGAACACAAAGAGGTATGTGTATAGGATGCTTAAATCAGGAACAGTTAGTTTCAGAATTCATTTTATGACAAATGGGACCTCATTGACTTACCTGTGTGGGTGTTAAAGGTGCGCTAAATGTCACAATTACTATAAATCTATATCATCATCGAGTGCAACATATTCCAACTGCTATTTTGATACCGAATATTACACTATTTCAATAAAGAGATGTTCTTTTTATTGACGATTTAAGCAGAAAAGTAACTGAAATTTCATTACTAATGAGAAAATTCCCATTTTTGACATGGTAATTTACATAGTTCTAAAACAAGTCTATTTTTCATACTTGCTTTAAAGTTGGCAACCAATAATATCTTTCATCATCAGGAATTGACAACACGTAAATTTGTCATATAACACTGATTTAAAAAAGAAAAACTTTGCTTTCTTTCCACTTTTCCTTTAACTTATGGTTCTTACTAACCAAAGGTTCATGGGTTATGATATTTGGCAAGTAGGTTGTTCATGTGAATGGACCTACGTTCAAGGTCACAAAAATTAAATATGCTAAAAGGGCCTGTTTCCAGTAATGTTAATTCACCATAGGAGCCTGCCCCCGTATAATTTCTTATCTAGCTCAACTACTGTTTTTTTCTTTTCCGAAGAATAATTTTACACCTTTCCGACACCCAGATTTCATAATTTCAGTGAAAATGTATTTTTATAAAGTTGTCAATTTCAGCATCAAAGACATAAGTTCGTAAATAAAAGAAGGTTATCTCGAAATTGTAATTCGCAACATAGTATAAATTTCTTTTGATAAATATTTCCAAAACATCGTGTTTATTCATAAAACATAAAAAAAAAAATTCTCGGATGAAAATGCACTTGCAGAGACACAATTATGAAGAAAAATGCCATAAAATTGCAATTTTCTCCCGTTATATAGTTTTGGATGCAAATTTCCATCAGAAAATCGGATAGAGCTTTACTTGTTTCATATGTGTACCAAAAATCAGCTAATTCCATGTGGTGGAACGTTCTCATATCGCCGCCTGAATGTGGTTGTAAATTGAAAGAAAAGGGGAAATGAGTAACAACCTTGTCTGAAACCCTATTATATAGCTTATTATATACAAACTTTTATATTGAATATCAGAGCGGATATTTTCATGACAGTTTTATGATGTGTAACGACTAAATAAACAGTATCGATATAAAGATTTACACTGAGGACACCCTGATACATGAATACTGTTCTATCTCAAGTTGTCCTCTTCTGAATTTTCTGATCGTGTGGCCTTGTACATTTATCCGTATCTTCTTGTCTTTGTCTATACGTTTACGGAATCATTGACTCGACGCTAGCTATTCTTGTCTCACTTTCCTTGTTTTATTGTCCCATCTCCAAAGCGTTGTGGCTCTGTCAGGGTTGGGACCCTGACTTGTCTCACTTTCTTTGTGCCTGCCGACCACGCCACATCGAATAGATAGATTATCCATATGAAATACTTTATTTTGTTCTAAGTAATCAATCAATTCTGCGCTTCTTGGAGGTATTGAATGTGATTTATTATATTGTCTTGTTATTTTGTGTAATTAGTTGTTCGTTATTTATCACACATTTTCGCATAATTGTACCAAACTACTAAGTATTAGCTGTTTACAGCAATCATCGGTGGCTTGCTATTTTGTTACTTTATCGACGCTTCATAAACCAATCGTTATTGTTTCAAGATGGAGGGTAAATGTGTTGGAGAAGGGTGTCAAGTATACTTCAAGAAACGTAGTGGCAATAAGAACAGAAGTGCACGCAATGTAAATAGTCCACAATATAAATGGCTCCTAGATACGCTGGTGCAACAAGGATTGATGTCAGCAAAGGAACAAGCACTTATTTGCCAGAAGTGCTACATGAAGTATCTTCGGAACAAAAATCAGCCTGAACCTGAACCCGAGCAGAACCAGGAAATAGAGGAAGAAGACGACTCCCCGTCCCATATCCTGCCGTTGCTGACCCTTCATGATCTTTTGAATGGATCATCTTCACACAAAAAATGCTGTCTCTGTCTTGTTACCTTTGCAAGAAATGGAACAAAATCATCAGTCTTACCAAAACGTGCAAGACATCACCTGATCTATTCACACAAACTGTGGTGTCCCACCTCATCCCGCGTCTGCTCCATTCACCTTATTGGTAACGACTTAGATCCGTCTACAGAGGTTGTCCTTGATGGTAGAGGTTCCTTGGAATCTCAGTTACCATCAAAATCGTCCGAAATCATTAATGACCTCCTAGAGGTGTCGCACGTCCTTTCACAGAACCAGTCTGCGTTTACAATAAGCTTTTCTTCTCTTGATGACTCGGCATGCATGGCCTGGACAGGTTGGTCCAAAGATCAGTTCCTCGAAATCCACTCGCACTGTTCCCCATATCTTTCATCTGGTATATATACCAAGACTACACACGATGCTCTATTACTGTTCTGGGTAAAACTGAAAACCGACATTTCCTGGAGTCAGTGTTCTTCTCTTTTTGGAATTTCCAAGTCAAGTGTGTCCAAAACTTTCCACTCCATAGTACAGGCATTAGACACATCGATAGTCCCACAATTTCTAGGTCCGGATCACTTGACAAGAGAACAGTTGCTCGGGCACAATACTGTCTTTTCAGAAGCATTTTTTGGAGATAAAGCCACTGCCATATTAGATGGCACCTATATTTATATCCAGAAAAGCTCCGACCACAAGCTCCAGAGAATGTCCTACTGTGGCCAGAAGAAGAGAAACTATCTCAAATTCATGAGCATCGCCTTACCAGATGGCTACATTCTGGACACAGTAGGACCATTCACTGGCAGCGAAAATGATGCTACAATTACAAAAAAAGTCATGGACAAGCTAGTTACTTGGCTACAACCAGACGACAACGTTGTCGTTGACCGAGGTTTTAGAGATGTCCTACCAGTTCTCGAAGCCTCTGGCCTCAATGCTAGCATGCCGTCATACCTGAAACCCGGTCAAAGTCAACATTCTGACGTCCAAGCAAATCTTGACAGAACTATCACCAAATCGAGGTGGATTGTGGAATCCTATCATGGTCGTCTGAAACACTGGACGTTCTTCCGAACGCAATTGGTGTCTAACAGCTTTATCAATGTCATCGAGGCTTTGCTTCGAACCGTCACAGCCTGTCTGAATGGTATTAGAGGACCGATCTACCAGAGATCTCCAGAGAGAGATGCCAAAGATAGGCTAATGGCTGAACGTATGAAGGACCGTTTGACAACACCGAATGGTTTAGCTCAGAGAGTCAAGACAGATCCGGATCTATCTAGACGGGCAAGGTCCGAGTTTGTCAAGATGGATGCATCTTCCGTACTGTTTCCCCGTCTCGATCTTGATTACTTGAGAACCATTACGTGTGGAACGTATCAGATATCTCTGGCTCCTGGTTACATCGCCGAACATTTAAGTGATGACGGAGACTATGAGGTGTGGCTTTACCAGCACTCCCCAGACCTTCTCCGATGTCAAATACATTCTCGACACAAAAGCCAAACGAAATATAACGTTTGGATACGGTTCACCGTTTCACCCGATGTTGAGGCCCCAATAAAGGACTACTACTGCCAGTGCCCAGTTGGAGAGAGAACGATGGGAATGTGTGCGCACATCTCCAGTATCTTGTACTACCTTGGGTATTACAGGACGCTGGAAAACCCTCGACCATTACAACCACAGGTAAAGAAATTCCGACAAAACTTGAAATAGTTTTCCATGCGGCAACGGAGTGCATATGTCGAAAGTATGTTTGGGGCTCGATATGAAAGATCCCCGTTACCATGTGACTAACCAAACTTATAAATATAGGTATTATACAATCGCCCGTAGCTATGAACACTCCCGTAAATGCGAAAACCAACCAAAATCATAAGGAACACGTTTTGTTTGTTGTTCTGTCTATTTGTCAGCCAATGTCTTCAACCACGGGGACTTGTGAAGTAGCCATCTTGGATTTTTTTTATGAAAAAGTGTTTCTCTCACTTTTTTTCATATCTGTGTACATATTCTCAACATACCGAGCAAATACTCTCGTTTTTTTGTTAATTATCTAAAGAAAGTCGAAAATCGGCAATTCAACCATAGGCTAATTCAACCCAACATTTGAAAATGTTCCACCACTTACATTTTGATGATTTTTCCTCTCATCAATAGCATATTACGTACTGTTTAATAGGATAAAAATTGGTTTGCATCCAACGCCCATAAAAGGGTGTATTCTCTAAAAAACACAGTTTTTGTGTCTAAAATGTTATCATCGAAAATGGCATTTTTGAGATTGTTTCTTCCATAAAACAGCCAAATGGCGCGATGGAAACATGATTTTTTGTCACAATCATGCCATGAATGTATTCTTTACGGTGACCATCATTTGATTAGATTTTCATTAATATTTTACATAACATGCACATTTTATCAACACTTAGACAGCTTCTGAAAGGTACAACTTTGAGGAGCCATAAAAAACAAACCAAGTGACCTAAATCTTTATACTTTATAGATTTGTGACCACAACGGCATGGGCAATGCACCACCAACAGGAAATTTGAATCAGAGAAGGGGCCGTTTTGGAAACCGGCCCTTTTGATTTTGTTTTGGGAGTCAGACAAGGATATCTTTCCTTGCCCTGTATTTGCTTAGAGTTAAAGATATTAAATAATGAAATATTCCTTCATGTTTTGTTAAATGAATGGGCAATAGGCAATATAGATAATAGTTAAGTGTATATTACTTTAACTATTAAAATTATTTTATTGTTTTTATATAATTGCATATCTTTGTCTATAACACAATCTCAATCTTACGTAGTTCTCCAGAGGAAGGATTACTTTGGCAGAATACATATTTATGAGTTATTACTGCTGCACATAACTTTAAAACATACGAAATATAATATAGTGTTTTGGTATCATGCAAAAGCAGAAAATGTATCGGTATTTACCATAATAAACGTTGATAATCAAATCTCCATGATTATGTGAAATTGGGCATTGATCATGTTTGACATCCTAAAAAAGTACTTTACTGGTTTTGATATTACACATAAAAATAATTCTGCAGACAGAATTTATATAAGGAAAGTTTTTAAAGAAGTATAAAACATAGACTTCCATTGTAATTACATATAGGCAAGTTCATAATGTTGGTTATGTTTTAAATTTTGTGAAAATTTTGCATGTTTTTCTAATTAGAAGTATCACTACGCTTACTTCATGTCTACCAATATGACATATCTAGTATCAAAATAACAGTAATGTTATACACTGTACACTATCATAATTCATTTTCAAAATAACATTCGCCAAAAGTTGACCCCCCGGGACCTTTGTAGCATTTTGCATATAGTTATGCAATTCTTATAAAATGACATTTTTCATAGTGCCATATAATATAACACTGCATGGTTTAAAGTAATGTGAAAGATTCCTGTTGAGGATTCCCAACGTGGGAGTGGGTACTAATAGTTCCTGTAAGGATAATGAAGAGCAAAGAAGATACAAGATCACCTATTGTAGATCTGACAAAGATCCTTTCATGGTGGGCGCCAAGATCCTCCTAGAATCTCCTGATTATGAGGTTCAGTCTTTAAAATTCAAAGATGAAAATAGTTTTTGATTTTCAAAACCTGTAAGATAATCGTTACTGATTAATTTCATTATTCAGATGAATTAAGATAGATAAATTAACAGAAGAAAACTTATATTTCCAGTCTTATTATTTTAGTGTAATAAAGAGTCAGTGAATTGATTGTCTGTCCATTAGTTTATCAGAAACACAGTGGTGTAGTGTAATTACTGCGCCAGTGCATCCCGAGTAGTGAATCCGTCATTAAGGGGAGTTATTTCCCTTGTACTCATTCCTGTGGTTGTGTTAGCGCAGTCCCTGGTGAAAGTGTTGAATTATCCTTTAATATATAGCCATTAAGAATATGTATTAACCTGTATGATACTGGAATTTGGAATATTTCCTGTTTATACGTTTGTTTTCAAATATAAATCCACAAAAACTGTTTTGATTTAAACCTTTAGTTCATACATTATGATAACTTAACATCACGCTACATGTAAGTTTGATTGCCAATTCAACGTGGGCATATTAACGCATAATTAAAGAAGCTACCAATTATTTTGGATTGGTTAAGTGAGTTTATGCAAAAAAGTTCAGATCAGGGGACAATGATATTTCGTCAGCTTTTTCACCTGTATACTTTGTATGTTAAACTTTTTTCTTCCAAGGAACGTGCTGAAACTTGCTTTTATAAACTTTGAATGTGCTTAACAATTTTTCCTAGGCTGATAATTTATGGCATTTAGGTTTCCAAGTGGTCAAACATTGTTGCACATTTGAAAAAAATAAAAATTCCCCCCAAGTTTTGACCTATTTGGACTTCACTTATGCCAAAATCTCCAGGTTAAAATGTTGGTGTTGGTGTCCGGGGCATATCCTCTATACTATTTCACCTGGAGTAACCAGATTTGGTGTACAAGGACATCTTGATAGCAGAGTGCAGAGAACAAGAATTGGGGCACTATGACCTCACTGTGACCTATCCTTTGACCTTTGTCGGGGGTGGGGGGCGGGCATATCCTCTATACTCTTTCACATGGAGTAACTAGAATTGGTGTACAAGGACATCTTGGGATGGCAGAGTGTCGAGTGCAATAATTAGGTCGCTGTGACGTATGACATGACCTTTCACCTTCACTTTTGAAAAGGTTTGTCTGGGGATAACTTCTATACTCTTTCACCTGGAGTAAATATATTTGGTGTACAAGGACATCTTGGGATTGCGAGTGCAAGAGGTAGGTCACTATGACCTTACTGTGACCTATGCTTTGAACAGTAGGTACATCCTTGCATAAGTGAACTGTTTGTTAAATACAGAAATCATTACCGATGGGGGACTTTGGATTGCCTTACAATACTTTGCCTTGTTTTCCACCTGTTTTAGACTAATAAACTTTTACTTTTGTGTCTAGATTATGGTAATGGCCAACTCAATTTTCATTTATTTTTTGTGCTATTTGGTAAGATAAACCTATGATAACTGTTTTTGACCCCTGCAGATCTTTCATGACCTTGAGATGAACCCTGGAAATCTTAGATGATCTTTTGTGGCCTCAATAAAAACTTTGTGAGCCGTCTGATCAGTTCATACTGCTGATGACCTGTAGTGGATCTCAGCAACCTTTGTCGACCCTTGACCTCTGATGTCTCCTGTTGATTTGTACTTTCAGATGGTAGGGACCTACTGATGTCGGTTGCTGACCTGGATTACGTAGCTTCACTCAGATAATGTGCCTTTTTGTCATCACATGCAATACCCATACCCACCACCAACTGCCTTCCGCTGTATATAGTAAGTGTGATGCTGTGAGGGTACACAGTAGCAGGGACCATATAGGGTACCACAATTAGTAACTGCTGTTTATCCTATTTTTAGGTAAGGTCAGGGTAATCATCTCACCTGGTCCGAAGTAACAAGGTTAGCCTATGTAGTACCATGGCGTATACATATGTCCGTCAACAATTTCTTAAAACGACTTCTTCTAAACTGCTAATTGAAATTTGACAATATTTAACTGGAAGCAGAGATCGGTGACCAGGTCTTGTAATCAAATAATAAATCAGCAATATCAGGACACGTGTCTGTCAAAGACACTCTGTACTGATAGCATATTGTACATGTTTGGGGCCTAAAAGTGTTTAACTGGTGCAAGCACATGTTTACAAAGAAGAAAATCGATCATCGCTAAAATGTGGCATATTGAAGTATAAATTGCTCGTCATAGTTAACTATGCTGGTCACACATCATGAGTACTACATGTTACTCTGTTATTAAATGCTGTCGATGTGAAAATACACCATTTTGATCGAGTTTCCTAAGGCCAATATTTCAGCGCTGATATGGTGATAGCCAAAATTGATCAATAATTCCAATGTTTCAGTACCCAAAGATTGTAATGGAACAATCCGAAATGTGGGTAAACAGAAAATTATTGTTTTTATTGTAGAAAAGATGTGTTCAAATTTCCTGCTAATTCGTAGTAACTGGAGGTTTTCTGAACCCTAGTTCTCATTTGACATTTAAAAATCTACCAGTGTAGAAGGGAAACCGTAAGAAATATTTAATGACATTTGTTGTTAATCAAGCAGATAATAACTGAAAGATTATCAATATGTATAAGAAGGTTCAGATTAAAAAAAAAACACAAAAAAACAACGGTCATGTTAAAAAACAATGTCCCATTAGGAATTATTTACCTGGACATGTGTAAAGAAAGCAATGGTGTAGGATAAGGTTTGTCTTTGTGTTGTTCTAATATCATACTACAAAAAATGACGGACAGAAAGTGTAATGTAACTGTCTGGTGTTCAGTGGGACAATAGAAGTGGTTTTGGTTATGATAGTGTGCATATCACTCTAAGGTCAGTATAATGTGGGAGTTATTTCCCTTCCTTACTGAGGATGCTTAGCTTAACACAAAATGTACATTGAGTTTAAATGTATATTTGAAAGGAAAGGGGTGGGATTGCGGATGTTGTGTTGGTGGGGTGGGGGATGGTGTGTTGGTGGGGT